GCATAGACAATTTAAGAAATTAATATCTGCCTAATTACATTTCCAAAGATAGCCTGCTAGTATTCCTTATCACAGTACTTTCTCTTTTGACTTGGAACCCTGAAGGCCTTTCTCTTGTCCAGTTTGGCTTGTTTTAGGGATGCTGTGGTTACATTTCAGATTAAAGGGTTAATTATTTCCCTAAACATGGTCTTTCCTACATCATTTTTTCATATCATCAGTAACGTATTGACAATTTAACTTTGAGTACTTGCTTTAATGAACTCTCCACAAAAGGGCATTAGATGTTTAAAAGTAGTTTCAAAATTCTGTATTAAAGTTTTTAAAAATCCATAGAGTTTTAGATTCATATTTAGCAATTCAGTATGACATTTCTTGACAATTGGGGACAAATATATAATCATCAGTCATTTGACACAATTTTCAATATTAAATAGATTAGTATATTTCTGTTACTGCTTCACTATATGATCAAATTCTTTACTAATTGTGGGGTTAACCTATGGTCTAATCATGAGAACAACATCAAGTGAGTCTCCACTGAAGTGCGTTCTACAAATACCCGGCCAATGCGCCTCAAACTTGTCAAGATCACCAAAATCAAAGTCATTTTGTGCAACGATCACAGATTAAATATTTTGTGGTATCCTGGTCAGAATCTGGAACTGAAACATTAAACTGGAACATTAAAGACATTTGAAAAAAATGTGGACTTTTGTTAATAATAAGATATACATATTACTAACTGAAAATGTACATACATGTGTAAGATATTAATTGAAGAAAAGGTGCTATATACGTCAACGCCTTATACTACCCTGTAAATTTTCTATAAATCTAACTGTATTGCAAAAAATTATAATGTGAATATGTATCTTTGGGGTACTTTGAAACTGTGTTTATGGAAAAAGTTTTTAAAATTTCAACTCTAAATAAATTTAAAATTTCAACTCTGAAACAATGTTGCCACTTTATTATCGCCTACAACTCATTGTCTACTTAAAATACTGTGGGTGTTGTTTCAAAGTAACATGAGATGACAGCAAATACAAAAGGATTGTTTTGTATTGATGAGAAGTAAGGGTTTGGTAAAGAAGCTGTTATTGAATATTAGGGAAAGGGCAGAGTGCATTGGTTTTTAATTCTTCATTATACAGCAATTCACTATTTCCTTGAAACAAACAGATCTATTAAGTTTCTTTAAAAGATGGAAAATAATTATCCTGTGATCCATAATGAATATACATCTATTAATACGAATTTGCTTCAAATTTAATTCCTTTTTTCCCCTTGTTCTGTTATGTTTTTTCCAACTTTAAATAGTCATAATCACAAAATAGATGACACACTTTTTAGTTTTTGTATATTACTTAATACTAATCCCTATAGTACCTCTCAATAAATACATAATTTTTATTAAGGAACTTATTCATTGTTTACTTAAACATTCACATATTTCTTTAGATTGAAGGCCAGCATGTAGGAGTTATGTCCAAATGCATGTCAAACCAACTGTCGGTGTGAATGAGAAGAGCTCTCTTGCAACCCTGTATACTTAGAAAGCTTGTCTTCACACATTTTAATTAGCGGGACAAAGAATAAAGGAGCCCATGGAATAACATCTGGCAAATCCAGATTGTTCATAATACTGATCACATTTGTCAATGGTTTTCTTTTAAATTGCCCTATTAATCATTTTACTTACATAGAATATAAAACTAAAAATATTAAGAACTGGAAAAAATAAACAAAGGCCCATATTTTCTTTTATAACCCTATTAATATTACAGTCTAACATTTTTCTAAGTTGATATATGCTCTCTCTACTTTTTTTTAGTGGTTTGATTTATTAAATTTTTGAGGGCAGGGTATTATTGTCTACTGTTCAAACAACTTGTAATGAATTGACTGAAGCTCAGTTCATTATCAACACCCAAATTCAGTTAAACAGTATGCTTGCTGCCCTAGAATTGTCATTTCAAGTCATTCTTATGTTGTGAGCACCTCTCCCTTCACCCATGTTTCTGTTGTTTGTCCTCCTGCAAGGTGGGGTGGCGGAAGGGGCGGGCAGGGCAGTTATACTTTGATTATTGCGAGATTAGCTCCCCTTTCTCCCACCCCTATCTCCCCAGCTACACTCATGGTATCACTATTCCCATGACTGTTCCTGAGGGTTTCATCTGTCCTGGATTCTCTGTGCCAAGAGCTCTTATCTGTATCAATGTACATGCTCTGGTCTAGCGGGATCGGTAAGGTAGAACTGTGTCATGATAGTGCGGGAGGTGGGGCGGGGTGGGAGGATGCATTAAAGAACTAGAGCAATGCTGTGTGTTTCACTGTGCTATACAGCACGCTGGTTGACTTATTCCTTCCTTGTGACCCTTCTGTGATGGGATGTTCAATTTTCTAAAGATGGGCTTTGGGGCTGACTTTCTCTACATTCCTATGTAAACATTAAATATTAATCATCTGTAAACATAATGGGATATTCCCAAGTTAAATTATTTTTTATTAAACAAAATATTTAGTTGATTCTTAAGGTTTTAAGTCTTTTACAATCTGGAAGACAAGTCATTAGCAACACCTCTCACAATCTTCAATCTTTCTAAAATTTTTATTATAAATACCCTCTATTTACCTCACCTGTGCTCATTTCTTACCATATTTCTGCCCATTAGACAAATTTACAATTTCACATATCCAATCTCATGAAATGTTTTGGAAACTCAGGAAATACATCGTGAGGACTTCATGACCTTGAAAAATTGTAAAATACAGTTTTTCTGGGATCCACAGTCAATACCCATGGAAGCAGCAAGAAGGAAATCAAATGATTAATTGCACAAGACCTCTTTATAGCTATTTATTTGTTTATGTAAATCACTTTATTGGGGGCTCTTACAGCTCTTATCACAATACATATATACATCCATTGTGTCAATCACATCTGTACATATGTTTTCATCATCCTTTTCCAAACATTTTGCACAAGACTCCTTTAAATCTGTTGCACAGACCTCTTTAAAATGTTGAAGGACACAGATGGCACTTTGAGAATTAAGAGGCAGTAGTATCCGTAGTATTTTCATTTGCCTCATGAGCATGTGAAAGCTAAAGAATGAATAAGGAAGAATGCAAAAGAATTTAATTGGGATGTTGGTGAAGACTGCTGAAATACCATAGGTCCCTAGATCAAAGATATTGGTGCCATAGGTAGGGCAAACAGACTATCCTTAGAAACAATGATGGCAAGACCGTATCTTATTTCCTTTGGACATAGTATGCGGAGAGACTAGGATCTGGAGAAGGATATCAGGTGTGGGAAAGCAGAGGGGCAGTGAAAAGAGGCGCGAGACTGACGCAGTGGCGGCAACACTGGCCCAAACATAACAACTGTGAGATTAACCCGGGACGAGACACTTGTCAGCCTGCCCTAGGCAGGGTCACTCCGAGCCAGAGCTAACTGGAGAATACTCAATAACAACACAGTGTCTCATCTTTTGGCCAAGGTTCGTAAATCTGTGATAAATACCAAATGTTTCTTTCATTCTAATATACGGTATATACTCGAGTATAAGCTACCTGAATATCAGCCGAGGCAGCTAATTTTACCACAAAAACTGCATTAAAAATGTGCTGAAAAGCTCGGCTCACACATGAGAGTATATGGATTAAAATTGTGTCGGAGGCATAATGGAATTTTTTTAATTTAAAGAAATTTTAAATGCCAAATCCAAACAACAAGTTTATGCTTATTTTAAAACTCACAGTTATTATTATATTACTAAGAGTTAATTTAAAAACAAGTTACAACTTACCTAATTCTAGTAAAAAAAATAAAACAAACAGCACAAGTAAATTTTAAGAATTTGTATATCTTTCATGTAACTGATTTGGTACTTTCATTGTCTCATAATGTAGCATATGACCAGTTAAGCGACCATTCTAATGCATCAATTAAGGCAGTTTCCTGTTTACATCCATCTGGCTACATTCTACTAACTTTTACTTCCACATATTGTGTTAGTGGGTTTGACTGCAGCAATGATCTTGAGTATCTTGTGGAGTATTTACAATAAACATCATGTAAATTTGATTAACTGCCAAGACTAATGTTTGTCTTTGCCATCTGATCAATCTTATACTGCCTTATGTACTACACATATTAATCCCTTCAGTACTATTGAAGTAATTCTGATTTTATAATAAAGCTAACATTTCAGTTTTTCTTTTAAATTTAGGAATCTGGAAAGACATATACTCTATTTTATTAGTGTTAGCGGCAGTGAAATAAGCATCCAATAGCTAATGCTATAATTAAGTTTAATGCCATAACATTCTCAAAAAAATCATAATTTAAATGAAAAAAAGTTGTTTAAGTGTCAGCAAGGAAATATTTCTCCACAAATCTCGTGTATCTCAGATGAGACATTTGGGTACTTCTCTCTTCAATGGTCCTCCCTCGTGGCATTTCTGAGTGAAACTCAAAAGAGAAAAACACCAGTACTGATTCCTAACAAAATAGGAGCAAGTGGCTGTGGGAATATGCCATGCGAAATTCATGTTTTAACAAATCAAGTACAGTAGATTCCTATCAACACTGTATTTACAGACAACTCAGACTTGCTTTAGGTTATGTAAAATTTTCCTCATTTGAAAAAATTGAACCAACTCTTACTGGAAACAAATACTTTATTCTAATTACGTTCACTTGTTACACATGCAGCTTTTAAAACTCTGAAGAGACTTCAAGCCTTATCTTGCACTCAAATAAGGCTAAATAAAAACCAAAGCACCTCTTCTTACTTACCTACAAAATTGACTACCACGAGGTCAACAGTTCAAAACTACCAGCTGAGACTTCCTACTCTCATAAGAGTTGCAATCTCAGAAACCCACAGGGGCAGTTGGACTGTGTCCTATAGGGTCACCTTGAATCAAAACTGACTAGATGAGAGTGAGTTTGTTTGTTTGTTTGTTTGTTTATTTTGTGTGTTTTTTACTGTACTCCCCTATTCAATCATGGCTGCCACAGGCAGGCAGGCAGAAAGCGCGAGGACATTTTCTCTTGCATCTGTAGGAAACCTGAAGAGCAGACAGTAACTGCTCCAGGTCTGTCAAATAGATGCTTTGTTTGGGTTTTTATACACAAACTGGAAAGATGTAAAAAAATTCAGTAAGGTGAAAATTAATATATGTATGTGATATATAGTACATGTACTATATATATAAAGAGAGAGTAAGAGAGATATTAGTTTCAATATTGCAAAATTTTTTCCATCCTATCCAGTTCCATAAAACCATAACCCCTATTCCCACTGCCATGGCTATAGACTCCTCCCATACCAGTGGTGATGCTGTGTGTGCAGAATAGACTTGTATTTCATAGGGTTTGCAGTGGGTGGTATTTTGGAAGTAAATCACCAGACCTTTCTTCTGAGATGATTCACATTTCTAAGCATTGTGATAGCAGTCAAGTGTGGTAAATAGTTGCACCATCTATGGGTTCTCCTCACAAGCGTACCACTAGCAAGCTGATTTCACCTCACAGCAACTCTAGATAGGATGTCAAAGACCTTATAAATCTTTATGAAGACAGACAGCCTCATATTTCTCCAGTGAAGTGAATGGTGGATTTGATGCACCAACGTTGTGGTTAGACTTAGACTTCAATGCTGTTATTAAGATCTACTATGACTACTGATGACTGTATAGGACAGGGTAGAGCTACCCCTGTGGGTTTCTGCTAGTGCACCTCTTTCCAGGCTTGGGAAGGCCAGGCTTGCTTTTGGACACAGCAGCTGCTGTTTTGGAACTGCTGACCTTTCGGATCACAGGCCAATGCTCAACCATTATGCCACCAGAGCTACTGAATATCTAGATAGAAGCTGTGAATTACACGTTCCTGGTATACTTTCTCCACGTGTGCAGTTTCTTACCGCCTTCTCTTTAGGAACCCCACCAGGCATATTTGCAATGGTGAAGAACATGGTTGTGAACTGAAAGCCAGCTGTTCGGACTCATGAGCAGCTCTGTGGGGCAAAAGCAAATGGATTTGGCAATGTGCTCCTGTAAGAGCTTAGTCTGGGAAACACTATGAGGTCATTCAAACCAAACCATCTAGCCAATATCAACTCAGAGTACTCTATCGAACAAGGTAGGAAGGTCCCTGTGCGTTTTGGAGGCTGTATATCTTCACACGAGGAGAAAGCCTCAACTTTCTCCTGCAGGGCTGCTGGTGAGTTCCAGCAGCTGACTTTGGGGTTAGCAGCCCCACTTATAACCCACCGTGTCATCAGGGCACCTGGAACAGTACCGGGAAGGTGTGTCCTCTTTAGAATGCCACAGGACTTGAAAGGGCACAGTTTGCCCTGGGATAAACATCAGGAGGAAGGAATGGGTAAAGATAAGGAGGAATGAAAACTGGAGCCCAGGAAGGATTTGGGAAGAGTGGGTACTGATCGCAATACCAGGAAGCAAAGTCCATATGGATTGTTGGATGGAAATCCAATGTACTATGCAATCTTTCCTTCAAATTACAATAAAAACCTTTTTCGTTTAAAAAAATTAAAATGAGAATAGAAAAGGGATAAGACTGCACCTTGCCAAGGGCAAGTATCTTTCCATATCCAGAAAAGACAGGCAGTTCCAGGTTTTCAGATTTCATTCTAGTAACTTTCCCCCTTTTTAAATGTGATAAGTAGATACTAACTGTTATCCAAAAACATGTGGAACCTCATGTCTGGACAATTATCTAAATGCTCCAATGATTTAGCAGAAATAATTCCCAGATGAGACCATTTTAAAAAGGTACTTCAAAAAGAAGAATGTTACCTATAAAGATTTTCCACAAGATGAATTGACACCCCCGTGGCAGCAGTGGGTGCTACCTTGAACACGTTGTGAGGATGGCGCAGAATGGGGCAGTGCTTCATTCTTTGTTACTCATGGTCACCAGGAGTGGAACTAAGTAGAAAGGACATAACAGCAGGGTCGTATGAGCTGAAACTTAACTGGCATATCTCAGGTCCATTCCACTGCTTGTCAAATCGGGCCCATTACATCAATGACAGCTTGAAGATGTCCCTTCTGTATTAAGAACATCATTTCTGTGCTTCAACATTTACAACAGGTACGAGCAAAACATAGTTCTGTGTGGAGGGAAATAACAAACAACTAAACAGGGACACATTTATAAAACTATCTAATGACTACCTAAAATATTTGCTTGTCAGTAATAGGTTGTGTGGAGGAATATTCAGACACTGGTATTATATAATACACTGTTTTTCAATAAGAGCAACATTAAATATGTGTTCCTGAAGGTTCTAAAATAGTAACAACATTGAAGAAGGTCTGCTTCTACTAATTTTCTAATATGCTATATTTTTTACATTTTATATATTCCTAAAGATTCTATAATCATACATCTTTTATAAATCACAAACATAAAAGTAAATATACAAGGGGCTCTTACATTATGAGAATGAAATAAGTGTTTACTTTGATGAATTTCCTTTAATATTCCTTTCCCTTTATATGTCCATGAAAAGAACACACTCTGCAAGAAAAAAATCTGTAAGTATGTCTAAAAATGTAACCCTATTATTGAGTTTTATAACATGATTCTAAAAAATGCATGAATCTATACCTCTACATGAGAACAAGTATATTACACCAAATTCTATATCATTTAAAATGATAAAAACCTGCTTACTGGTGCTTGCAGGTAGGGCTGTAATTTGACTATTTAGGAAATCAGTCTGCTCTAGTATGTGATTACAGACAAATAATTGAAGTATCAGACAAGCAGTGAACCACAGGGCATTTCTGCACAAACAGCAAGGTATTCTAACTATAAAGCTTCTCTCAGTGCTAGTGGACCTAAGGTTATAATTATATAAAACTTTTAAATGTATTTCTATTTTTTTCCAAAGCGCCTGTTGGGGTAACCATCTAAGGTAAAAATATATATATAAATATGAGTTGACACTTCATACTGAAACAAGAAAGAAGGGATTGTTTAAAGATAAATTGATAAGAAAAATTCTAGAGAGCTCTCATTCACCACATCTAACAATACCATCTCCTCCAGTCACTTGAAGCCTTTTATGTTCAGCTAGAAGTACCAAAGAAATATTCAGCTTCATATTTTGCCTGATCATCAGGGATCATACTTTATCTTAACTGGGCTTGCACAAGCTTAAACCTTCTGGCAGGTTCTAAATATTGCTCAGAAAAAAGCTTCTATTTAATTGGAATACATTTCTCTAAGCCAGAATCAGGTTGCCGTTGAAGCTCAGGAGAGGCACAGGCCCCCTTGTGCACTGGTCCATAGACAAAAGTTGTATGTGCTGTCTGGGTTAGGCAGGAAAGGATGAAGAAAAACAGTGAGGTGCAAAAAGTTAAAAATTAGTAATTGACACGTAGATTCAGAATGGGTTGTGGTGGGGTATAGCCAGAAGTGTTAAAATGCAAATATCTAAGTGCATTAACTACCTCTGTGTGTGAGAATGTGGGCTTATTTTTCCTGATCTTTAAATTAT